TTCGCCTTAAAATCAAATAACACGAAACAAAACAGAGACAATGAGAGAAGACATTGAATCGTAGATGCATTGGCCCAAAAAGGAATTTGAGGAAAGAGAAAAAGAAGTGAAGGAGCTCTAAAAAGCAACCATTGTGGCCAGTGTTACTGTGACTCTGGAAGATTACTACTTCTGCAACGAAGAAGGACGTTCTCTCTCTAACCTATCGTAACCTATCTCTTTACAATCTTAAACTCATCAAACCCATCCATAAAATCTTCTCTTTTTTTACAGAGACCTTCTCAAAAACCCCCAAATCAGGTTTTGTATTCGACCCACAATGTGACTGGGGGCTAATCAATGGTTCCGAAGATCAAAGACTCTCCGAACACTCAATCTTTTCTTTCGCACCCACTTTCTTCTCAATACCCTCCAGCGACAGTGTTGCTGAGATTTTGGAGAAGTTTGGAGAGGAAGCCAGGGGTGAGAGACTCCATTGTTGTGGTTGAAACAGGGTGACGCCACCACGTCGCCGTATGGGTTAGAAGCCAAACAGTTGGTGTATAATTCTTCTTTGTCTTTTTTTTTTTTGGTTGAATTTGGCGGCAGAAAATTTCACCTTGGCGCCTATTTTTTTTAACATACAATACACGACATGCATGGTACGTCATAAAAAGGTAATACTTTTAACGGCAGGCATTATGTGAGTCGTAAAAAGTGTAAAACTTTTAACGGCGGGCATTTTGTGTGCTGCGAAAAGTGCAATACTTTTCACGGCTGGCGTATGTGTGTCGTGTATAATTAATGTATTAGCAACACACCATATGCACGTCGTAGAAAGTTTTATTATTTACGGCGTGCATTGCAAGCCGTAAAAAAATTATCGTTATTACCATTCACAGCCTACACAATAGACACGTCGCGGTTGGAAAAGTATTTATGACGTGCAAAAAAAGTAAGTTGTAAAAGTAAGAAACTACGGTGTGCATTTATTGTATGTCGTTGATGTGGTGTCGTAAAAGGTCATTTTTGTTGTAGTGAAATCATTATTATATCATTCGTGTTCTTCCTTGGGCAAGATCCTTAGATGGTCTTAGAGGGTATCTTGTGACCATTGACTATAATTCTCCATAGCTCATAGTTTAAAGCTTGAATGAAAATTTTCATTCTTACTTTCCAGAAAGTATAATTTGAGCCACAAAAAAAAGGTGGACTAGAGGGCAATTGACCTTCAGCAAAATAAACACTAAAATTGGTTACCATGATCTACTCTTAGACGCTTAAGTCAAATGTAAGAGTCCAAGCTCTGATACCAATTGTTATCCCAGGTTGGCAATGTAAGAAGGGGGTGAATTGGATTTCTAAATAAATTGCCAAAATAAAAATTAACCCAAATAATATATAATTAAATATGCTCAAAAATATAAAATAAAGTAATGAAATAAAATGAGCAAAGGAAAGAGAAATCAAACACAACGATTTATAGTGGTTCGGCATGCCGGGCCTATGTCCACTCGCCAAGTTTTCTTCTCAGGAATTTCTCTACTATTCTTCAAATAGTAATACACCACTAGCTTCACAGGTGCTAGTGAACCTTTACAGATTAGTTTAAAATCCAGTGCCTAGTCACACCTAACTAAGTGATTTTATCTCAAAAATCACTTACAAAAATACCTGATTAGTTTTGAATCTGATGCCTAGTCTCACCTAACGCAAGTGATTTTATCCCGAAAAATCACTTACAAAAACTCTCTCTTTTTTATAAGAATAATAAGAATAAGGGATAGAAAACCCTTTTACAATTTTGCTCAAACTCTCAACAAATTTTCTCACAGAAAATATAACCTAATGAAGTACAATAGCCCCGTTTGGTAAAACTTATTTGTAGCTTAAAGCCACTTATAGCTTAAAATAAGTTCTTTTAGAGTGTTTGGTAAAAATTATTTCACCAACTTATAGCTTAAAGAAAGCTAATATTCAACTTATTTTTGAAGTGGGGCTGGAGGTGCTTAACGAGATAGCTTAAGCGCGCAGCTGTTATACAGGGTGCTAAAATGACTTAGATGCCCCTCCTAATCTCCATTATTTACGAAAATGCCACTATATATACACCACATCTCAGCACTGTTCATGAACCGGAGAGAGAAACATGCGATTTCTGGCGATGTCTGGCGATTTCCGGCAACGTGTCGCTTGCTCCGGCGATGAAACAGATATCTCTCTGCTCTCTCTCTCTCTCGCTCTCTCTGTCTCTTTCTCTCTCTCTCTGCGCTACATGCATGGCGTCGGTCGATCTCAGGTTCGTCACCATCACGATCGCGAAGCTCTGTCTGTCTGAACCAACGCCGTACTCGATCGATCTGAACCAAGCTTCGTTGTCGATCTGAACCAACGCCGTCACGATCTGAACCAACGCCGTCATTGATCGATTTGAACCAAGCTCCGTTGTCGATCTAAACCAACGCCGTCGCGATCTGAACCGTTGCCGGTCGTCGCCCCTGTGCTTTTGAAACCCTAGAAAAAAAATTGAAAATAAACTGAAAAAAAAAGAAAAATATCAATATTAATATTAATTAAAAAAGAAAAAAATACTTTTCAGAATTAATAGTTAATATGAAAAAAAATTAAAAAAATTACATTTCAAAATTAATATTTAACACAATTTATTAGAATTAATATTTACTCAATGTTTATTATGCAGTATAACCTATTGTGTAGTCTGTCTAGAAAAATTAAATATGACACATAAGATAGCCTTAGGAACTACTAAGGAAGATCATACGTTTCATAATTAAAAAAATTACTTTTGAGAATTAATATTTACTAAAAATGAAATATTACTAAAAATAATTAAAACGAATAATAATAAAGAATAATAATAATATGAAAAATAATAATAATAATAATTGATGGACAAAATGATACCAATTTTAATATTTACAACAATTTATTTCACTTAATATTTACTTTTGAGAATTAATATTTACTAAAAATGAAATATTACTAAAAATAATTAAAAAGAATAATAAAATAAAATAAAATGAAAAAGAATATTCATGTTAATAAAATAAAAAAGAAAAAAAATTAAAAAAGAAAAGAAAATAAAATAAAATGAAAAAGAAAAAGAAAAAGAAAAAGAAAAAGAAAAAGAAAAAAATGTATTTTAAATGAAATAACAAATTTTATATCTTATAAGGGCAAAAATGACAATTATACAGAAAAAACTATTTTATAGCTTATTTACCAAATACTACTCTGCTGCTCAAATCAATAATCCCACAGCTGCACCAAACAGGTTACCAGCTTATGTTCACAGCTATAAATTATAATCTGTTAAGTTATAATCTATAATTACTTTCCCACAGTTCTACCAAACGAGCCCAATATAATATTTGAGAATATTTCAATATCACAGATTTTTCTCTTCTTCATTTCTAATTTTTCTCTTCTTATATATCATAAAATTATATCTATTGGAGAGAAGAAGGTGTTTCTCTTCAAATCATTGATTTTACGCACAACGCCCTTCATCACGGGCGCACGACACCTTTTCCATTTTAAAAAATTGTAGCTCAAAAATAATTGAACAAACTTCGCTTTCGATAAATAGTGATACAAATAATTCAAAACTTTTGAAGTACAAACAAATGATGCACAGTGAGTGTATAATGTCTTCTCTATTAAAATATTTGAATACACAGTAAGTTCTCTTTTTAAAATATTTGAATATATAGTGACTTCTTTATTAAAATATTTGTATGCATAGTAAAATCTATTTAAATAACATTTATATATATCTTTTTAAAATCTTTGTAATTATTGTAGAGATTTTGGATATATAAAAATAACCTACCACCCTATATGGGTATATCAATTTTGTCAAAAGATGACAACCCACTAATATCACATTTGTCAAAAGAATACAACCAATCAATTTCAAATTTGTTAAAAGATGAATAGTGACCAATTGAATTTTTCAACACGTGAACAGTAAATTTTCCAAAATAATTTCGTAAAATCAGATCTTGCATAGTAATTTCAATATAAATAATATTTATAACAAATACATTGTATAACATATATTTTAAAAGATAAAATTGTGTCAGAGAATATAAAATATGTATATTAAAATATCGCAATTTATCCCATAATATTTCAGACATCATCAAAATTAAATTACATGATTAACACACCTTATTATCATCATTTCAGCAATATTCATTTTATTTACGTATTATTTTTTAGTTGCTCAGCATTCTGTCCCATACAATATCAGTGGTCTAATAGTCTATAGAACGTTTCTTTTAGTTTAGTGGATACTTGTTTATCGCATAATATCACATACCCACTCCTCCACTTAAGCCACTTCGCTTTAATTTTATGAACCACATTCACTCTAATCTCCCCAATTGTTATGATAATCAATCATAAATAATGAAAATGTTTACTCTTAGATAGTTCTTAATTCTCAATCTCCACTTATCCTATACTACCATTGTTATTGTTACTAAAATTTACACTCTATGTACTCTGTTTTAATTCTGTTTATTCTAAATCTTTTAAATTCAAGTGTTCCTCTAAAAAGTCTCTAAGTGTTAATTTTTTTTTTTACTCTCACCCACTAACAAGATATAATTTATAAAAAATATACATCATAACATATCATCTTAAATATTTCTCACTACCTAAATATTTAAATAACATGATGTAAAAATTATATTACAAGCAATCTCATTACTGGGATTCTCATTATTTTTTAAACATTGCCGTCTAAATATTGCCATTTAAAAAGTAAACTTTTTAACATAAATTAAAAAAAAAAAAAAAAAAAAATTTAAATGTTTTATGTTAATCCCAAACTCACCCTAAATCCTATAAAAAATTTTAACAGCGTCGATGATACAAGGACAGCACTGGGAACATTTTCTGAATTCCTCCCCCACCATACAAAAGTAGAGAGAGAAAGTAAGAGAGAGAGAGAGGATCCCCAAATGGCATAAACCCCATTCTCTCTCTCCTTCCGCTATAAATACTCGAGCAGCCCACAGCTCTTCCTAATAAAAAAACAGAGAGCTCTCTGTCTCACTCTCTCCTGTACACTCTCTCTCTCTCTCTCTCTCCTCTATCTATACCCATTCTAGTTTAGCTCTATCTATCTATATATAAAGTGCTAGGAAGAGTTTGTGTTTTAGAGAGGGAAAGTCATGGATACCTATGCTGTTCATCTGGCGATGGCGGCGTTAGTCGGAGCTTCGTTCGTGGCTGTCTCGGCCTACTACATGCACCGCAAAACCCTAAATCAGTTGCTGGAGTTCGCCAAGTCGGTGGAGAGGGAAAGTGACGAGACGACGCCGAGGACGACCACGACTCGCCGCAGCATTCCAAGAAGTACGCCGAGAAGCGGAGGAGCCACGGCGGCCGGAGGAAGGGGAATGGCTATTACCGCCGCTCTTCGACGTCGTTGCCGGATGTTATGACTAATTGCGGCGACGTCGACGGCGGCGATGAGAGGCGGAACGGTCCGGTTCCGATTGATGGCATTCCGGCTGGGTTGCCAAGGCTTCATACACTTCCTGAAGGTATGTTTATGTCGGATTTCTCACCGGAGATGAAAAATCTGTACTGAAATTGAGTGGAACAATTGCAATAGCAATAGCAATAGCAATAGCCCTGATTTAGCACTTTTATACTCGCTAAATTGAATTCTTATTATTGAAAATTGGAATGATCAGAGGGATTGATGTGTATATGTTATAATTTATGTGTGATGGAAATAAATTTAGTTGAAAAGGTGTAATAGATGAGTCGGCTGTGAAGTGCCGATGGTATGTTCGAATATGCCCTGTATATGTGAAATTAGAATAAAATTTACAGAGTAGTGATTATTTGGACAGTGGTCATGGCTTCAATTTTGAGCTCTATTGTTATATTATTCCCAGCTGTGACTTTGCCCTTGTTGTTTAAGATCATCGGTAATGCTCTTGAAAAGCAGCAGGCATGCCTGAAATACAATGGGGAAATTGCAAATCAGTGAGATCTTTCCAAAATATTTACATATTCAAGAAAAAGTTTGTAACTTTAATTATTAAAGTTGATAAAATTTACCACTAATTTGAAGTTGTTTTTTAAAATTTCCGCTGAATTGCAATTTCCCCAAATACAATTAGTTGTCCCTTCCAAACCTTTATCAGATAAGGGTGTTTGATGGGATTGATGATATAGAAGTTAAGATGCAGAAGCAATGACCGAACTAGCATAATGCTCTATTTTCGAAGTCATGCTGTGAGTTTTTAATGTTCTATTTTCGAAAATATGGTATTGGCATAAAAATGCAAACTTTGACAAATATTTTTATTGGTAATAAAAAGGGGGACAACTTTTTTAAATTGTCCCCTTTTCGTGCAACGGAAACCCTTTGTTCATTGTCCATTTTATGCAGAAACTCATGACTAGCTCCTCAAAAAAAAATGAGGGTTTTTTTCTTGGTGCCTCTTTCTTTTCATGGCTTGGTTTGGGCTTATAGAACTTGGAATAAGAGAGGCAGGATCGTGTGGAAAGCTCCCATTGTGCGATTAAATGGCCCTTTTGGAAATAAAGAAATGCAAGAATTTTCAGGGATGTGGTTGATGTTGAGGTTGTGGATAGTACCATCGTCATCTTGGCAGCATCTGGCTGTCATTGTACAGTGAAATTTCTGGAGTTCAATTTCTTACGAGTAGGACTTCTTTAATTAAACATAGCTTTGTTATCTTGTGAACCCAGCGAATGTTGTCTTTATCATTTCACATGTTGTGACTTGTGGGTTATAAAGTAGCCTGTGGTTAGCCGCTTAATTTTTGCAGACTCCTTAATTAATTCAACCTTAGCTTGTGGATTGTTTAGCCATTTAACCCATCTGGAGAATTGCATTATTTCTACTTTCCCTTTTCAGTCGACTAGTTATCTTGTGCAGAATTACATGCTCAGCATTTGGTTATACAATGAACACTTTCAGTCAAACAAAATGTCTTCAAGGAAAACATAATAATTTTTCATTAACATGTGGTTTAAGTGAAAATTTAGCTCTTGATTGAACAGAATGGTGAAATAGGACCCAAAAAAGTTGGGACAACAATTTGTTGAGTTGAGTTGAGCTTGCATTTCCTTTTGTACATTAACTCTAATTATTTTGTAATTTCTTGTATTTTGGTAGGTACTTATCAAAAAAATGTTTATGCTTTTAGCAGTCAGATTTCTTTTGCTTCTGATAACAATAGTATTCTTTTATTTTAGGGAAATCTCCTAGCCATGCGAGTTCAACCAAAAGAGCTGGGCATCTAATTAGACCAACTTCTCCTAAGTCTCCTGTTGCTAGTGCTAGTGCTTTTGAAAGCGTAGAAGGATCAGATGATGAAGATAATATGACTGATAATGCCAAACTAAATGCGTATATTCATACTAACGGAAATGTTGTAAGTTGGTTAAGTAATCTCTCTCTCTCTCCCTGGTCATTGATGCTTTAATTGAATGGCCTTGCTTCAATTTTACAATATTGCTTCTCACAAATCCTGATTATTTCTACTATACATCATGTTTTACTGCATTTGGCAATGCTTTTATTATGTGTCTAATTATTTCCTGAATTTTAGTTAAACCTTACAATGCACAGGTCCCAGAGTGTAATAGCCTGTTCAAGGATTTACCAAGCCAGAATAATGCCAATGGAGAGCAAATACCTATAGCTGCATCAAGTATGATTCGGTCTCATAGCGTGTCTGGTGACTTGCACGGTGTTCAGCCTGACCCTGTAGCAGCTGATATTCTTAGAAAGGAGCCAGAGCATGAAACCTTTGTACGACTTAACATTACCCCAAATGGTATTTGCTTCTTCCTTCTCTCATTGGTGCATCTCGTTCTTTTCTGCACTCACATTCTCTTAATACCCTTTTGTGTGTAGAAATTACCCCGTGAACAATGTTTTCTAATTTTAAGTGTAGAAATTCAAGGAAGAAAGGAGAAGAAAATAGTTTTAGGTGTAGAAATTCAAGGAAGAAAGGAGAAGAAAATAGTTTTAGGAATCACTTCTAGAGGCTTTAGGCATCGCACCGTGGTTTGATTGCATCACAAAATTTATAAAAGAAAGCTTTAAAGTTCTGAAAATTCTGTAACATATCAACTCTGTTAATAGAAGCAATACACAACTTTATAGATTTTACGGACTTCCTTTTTCAATTAGGACTAGGATTCCAAGAGAAGAAACTAGACTTTTGATTTCTGAAATGTATGTAAGACCAAATAAGACTCCTAGATAAATAACCAATTCAATTACTTGATTCACAAGACGATCCATGAGCGACCCCCGCACAACCCATATCCATAAATTCTGCAAATTACCAAATACCCCCTAACCTTAAATAAACATAAATAAGACACTATTAATAGTAGAAATATAATTATAGATGGTTCTAATTGATCCCAATTGATTTTGGCTCGAAACCAAGCAATTTCCAAATGCTTTCTTAATTTTAGTTTTCCTTGCTCTTGTTGTAGACTGCATCAAACACATGGTTTTCTCCCCTGAGGAAAATTGATGAAGTTATGATTTAAGGTGATTATGGGATGTCTACTGAAATTTTAGTGCAAGGGAATGTCATATTTCATCATCTCTAGGCTTATGAACCAGAGTGCTTTTGCCCATTTCGAGATAGGGGTGAGGGCGGCTTTGATGAGAGCTCAGGGAATTTGTCAATTGAAATTGATTTTGTAATGAGAAGCAAAAATTTGAAAAGTCATTAACACCATGTGATCAGATTTGCTAAGTCCTACGAGCATTATCTTACTCTCATCATTGTTTTGGCATATTGTTGTTGATATGCAATTAAGACTCTTTTGAAAAATAAAATTTGATATTATAATGCTTTGAACAAAACTTTAAGGTATTGTCCTGGATGGAATTGCATCTTGAGGGCAATGTTCTAATTATTTTTTATTTTTTCCTCTAATTATTATTAGAGATGCCATCACCTGAAGAAGCGGATGTATATAGGAATTTGCAAGCTTGCCTTGAACTCCGACAAAGTTATGTATTTAGAGAAGCTATTACTCCATGGGAGAAAGAAGTTATATCTGATCCAAGTACGCCAAAACCTAATCCAAGTCCATTTGATTACACTCCTGAGGGGAAATCTGATGTGAGTTTCTATTTTTGCTTCTTTGTTGTCAGTGTTTCTTGAATTATGGGCTTAACTTACTGAGGCTTGTTTTCAATGATTAGTTTTCTGGTCATTGACATTTTAAGTTCTCTTGCAGCATTATTTTAAGATGGAAGATGGAGTAGCTCATGTTTATGCCAATGAAGATTGTAAGCTGCCGAAATTTTGATTGCTTTATGCTTCCTGTTTAGTGTGAATTGTTCATTTCTGTTTGATTTGAGACTAATTCTGTATGTCTGTTTCCTGATTCTTGTCCCCTTCCACAGCAAAAGAGAAGCTTTTTCCTGTTGCTGATGCAACAACCTTTTTCACTGACCTGCATCACATTCTTAAAGTAATAGCAGCTGGGAATATCCGAACATTATGTCATCATCGGCTGGTTCTTTTGGAACAAGTAGATCCATCCCCTTCCCTTTCTTTATAAACTGAAAGTATGCTAATTTTATTATGTTGAGAAATAATGATATGATGTTTGATGTAATGCTTATCTGGACATCTATTCAGAAATTCAGTCTTCATTTGATGCTTAATGCGGATAGGGAGTTCCTAGCTCAGAAAAGTGCACCACATCGTGACTTTTATAATGTCAGGAAAGTTGACACACATGTTCATCACTCAGCATGCATGAACCAGAAACATCTTTTGAGGTTTATAAAGTCAAAGTTGAGGAAGGAGCCTGATGAGGTAATGGCTACATTTTTATTTTTATTTTTTTGGTTTCCCTGCGTGTTTCCACTATGAGATTTGATCTGGGAATTTGGGGCTTCTTGTGCTTTCTATGGTCAGTTTCTAGCCACATAGAAAAGTCAAACTTGACACCTATTAAATGTAAACGAATCCTTGCTTAACTAACTAATGATAAGAGTTTCATTTGTGAAGTTGATATTTGTTGCAATTTCACTTAAATTTGAAGCTTTCTTCCGCTTCTTTTTTCAGGTTGTAATATTTCGAGATGGAACATACCTGACCTTGAAAGAGGTTTTTGAGAGCTTGGATTTAACTGGGTAATGAAGTAGTCTCTAGAATTTTTAATTTCATCATCCACTGTATCATCATTATCATCAAGTTCTCTCTCCCTTTTTTCTTTTTTTTTTTGGTTGCTGTTGTTGTCATGTATTTTGGCTTTTGTGAGATTCCTGGAATAATTTTTATTTTGCAATTATTCAAACAGGTATGACCTGAATGTTGACCTTTTAGATGTTCACGCTGACAAGAGCACCTTTCATCGTTTTGATAAATTCAACTTAAAGTATAATCCCTGTGGTCAGAGTAGGCTAAGGGAGATTTTTCTGAAGCAAGAAAACCTTATCCAGGGTATGTCCTTGTTTTCTCATTTGAGTGAGATGCTGAAGTTGCATGTTGAGAAAGGGTTTTCTTTCTTGTTCTGTATGATTTCCTCCTGGAACTTCCTGTAACTACTTTGCATTAGGTTTCTTCATTTTGAAATCCAGAATTAGGCTTGAATATTTGAAACAGTTTGTTCTTTTGTTAGCAATTAGTTGACAATTGGTTGGTTTGGAAGAACTGCTGACAGGTCTGTTAGCAATTCTATTATGTAGCAATAAATGATCTTAGAATTGTGGTGTCAACCTAGTTGTCTAAGCAGCAGAGACACCGCTATGGAGGGGCCATATTGTTGGCAAGCACTCTTAACATTGAGAAATGTGTTGGACAGTGCCTAAAATTTTTAAAAAGAAAGATACACACTTTTTATTATAGAAAAAGAAAAAAGTTGTTAGCAAGATATGTAAGAAAAGAGTGTTAGTAATAGTATATAGGGAACAACTATGTGCATGACACTTGTTAAGTTTCATTTTCCAGGTTATGCAGTTGTTAATATAGAAGTCTGAACAAGTCAGTCTTGATTATATATTTCTCTCATATGATCCACATAATTATCTACTAATATACACGAAACATCCATTTATTGTGTGTTTTCGCTATGTCCCTAACCTACTATAAAATCACGGTTGCCTTGTCCATGTCATGCCTGTGTCTCCGCTACAAAGGTCTCACTCTTCCCCCGTATATCTTCGTGGAAATGTCTATGTTTCTGATTTACTTGTCCCTTGATATTAAACCGTAAAATTTGTCACAGAAAGGACCAGATAAAGATGATTTTACTTAAATGTGCCTCCCAATTTAAAAGATTTTTTTACGAGCTTTAATATTAAATTGTGCTTCTAGTTCAATTCAGTTCTGTTTCATACATTATTTTTTGTGTCAATATTAACAAATTGTTTCTTTTGATTTATCTTCAAAATTTATTCTTTTCCTCATATGTTATTTTTGTTAATATGGTTTTGATCATTTCTACTATCCAACAGGTCGTTTCCTCGCTGAGCTGACAAAGCAAGTTTTTTCAGATCTTGCTGCAAGTAAATACCAGGTGTTTTTTTTTACATTTTTTCATAGATATTCGTTACCAGATTCTCCTAGATTAGTGAAAATATGCTGTCTGCTTTTGTTTCACTGCTGTTTGCTCAGATAGTTAGTGAGCATGAACACTGAATGTACATAACTTGAGTCATTCATTGCTTCCACCCCTCTTTTAGAAATTTTAAAACCTTTTTATTCTTTTAAGGGGGTTGGGGCAGGGGTTATGATTACTCCTTTATTCGCATTAAATGCTGGTGCTCTTTTACCACAAACCTGAACCAGAGAATTTAATGATATGTAAGAATATTTAGCCATGATTTTCTTTCAGCAATATTGTTTGCTACTACCCTCTATTCTGAGGTTATTGTTAGTCAACGCTTTATGCACATTTTTCACTCCCTTTTTGATAATGTATTTGCATTATCTAAGTTTGTTCTGTAAATCAATACCAAAATGAGAGTGACGGGTGATTGAGCAAGACTTATCTTATGCTTGACATGGAAATATCATAACAATTTTCCTTTGGATAAGTCTTACAAGGTCTGAAGCTGGTTTCTATTAGTTCTTAGGAATCTGAATGTTACAATACAATTTATCATGCATCATCATGTCATATGAGTTCAAAACTTCAAGCATTATGAAGCTCACTAATATCCTGAAATGTGATTCATATTGCGTGTGGATGGAAGCCTGTAACTTGAGAGATATGTATTGTGATTAAAGTGTTAAGTTGTTGGAAAATTTTTTGGAAAGAGTTTACGAAATTTGAAAATTTGTTTGGTTGTATGTTTTGAAAATATTTTTGGAGTTTGGGATGATTTTATTTTATTTTTTGTAGTTGAATAGATGGGTGTGAAAGAAGAAGTGATTGATTGATGTGTAGAATGTGAGAGAAAGAGAGAGGAGAGAGAAAAAGTGATTGATTGATGTGTAGTAGAGAGAAAAGTGATTTTGGACTTTTCTTTTTCAAAATTTTCAACCAAACAAAATTTTGAAATTTTTTCTCGAAATTGTCTCTCAAGAGACAAACCAAACAAGGCCTACGATTCTCAACTATATTAAACTATTCTAAGATTGGGGAAGAGCATTGTTGATAAAGCTTCTGTTTCCGAATATATATATATATATATATATATATATAAATTTTCTGTGTCAGGATATATCTCTTCTTCACTGCACAAAACCAGTTATGAGCTTTGGCTGAAATTTTTTCTTTGGAAACTCGCATAAATTTAGGGGGAATTACAAGACAGTGAGAAATGGAGAAAATATTTATCAAATGACGTGCAACTTTTTCTGTGGTTTTGTTGCACAGAAAAAGCTGCATCCCCCATGAATTTGTAATTATTTTTGGTCTTTTACACTGAATTGTAATTTCCCCTAAATTTTATAGGTGCCATTGCATGGTGCAATGATAAACGCTTGAGCTGCCAAGCATGAGAACTTGGGTTTTGTGTTTTTGAGGCAGCCATATTTTGCAAGTAAAGCCAAAGTTTAGGCCTGTACGCAGTCCACCTCTCTTAACATCGCCACTTGAGGGGGATAAACACTAAGGAATGGCCTTCGTTATTTGCATGAAATTTTATGTTCTTTGAACTGTCTTTAAATAGTGTGCTTTCGGAAGTTTTGGTGTTTTTTTTGATGTCCAGTTTAGGCTGCTCATAAACTTTTGAAATTTCATCCCATGACCAATTAAATTTCAGATCACCTTCTCAGGATTTCCTTTTGGGGTTGTTTGTTTGTTCTTTTTAATACATATTTCTGATGGTTTGTCCATATTAATATTTTGAAGTTGTTGTTGCTGCTACAGATGGCTGAATACAGGATATCCATATATGGTAGAAAGATGAGCGAGTGGGATCAAATGGCAAGTTGGATAGTGAATAATGACTTGTACAGTGAGAATGTTGTTTGGTTGATTCAGGTACTTAATAGAATCTGTGTCTCAGAACCCATCAAATTTGTTTTTTGATGTTGTACTTATTTATTCTCTTCTTGTCTTTTCCTGTACTTTAGCACTTTTATTGTTGTTTTATGGAAATTCTTTCACAAATTAAAAGAATTTGAATTCCTCTTTCTTTAGCTTCCGCGATTGTACAATGTGTACAAGGAAATGGGAATTGTGACATCATTTCAGAACATTCTTGACAATATCTTTCTTCCTCTGTTTGAGGTTACTGTTGATCCAGATTCACACCCTCAGTTGCATGTTTTCTTGAAACAGGTACACCCTCTATTGTTTATGAAGCCTTTTCATTGTACCAGTTATGGGGTTATAGTAAATCTTTAATATGTGTATGCCAAGGAGAATTTTGATATCTAAAAGCTGACTATAGTGTGATGAACTGAATGATCATTGTTGGTCTGTTTTCCTGTTCAACAAATGTGTTTCTGGGCTTTGGGATTCAAATGTTTATGTTCTTTTTTCACTTATCAAAGTTTTTTGTTTATATTTTTTTTCACTTGTTTCTTTGATGCATGCACATAGTTATGCTGTTTTGTCTTTTTATGTTTCTTATTTCTTGATAGAGTAAAATATATGTTTTGTTTATGAAGGACCTCTTTCGTTAGCTTGCACTGGGTTGCATTTGGACTTATGGCTCTTTGCTCCTCAAAAGATGAGGTTTATCGTTGTATTTCTACTGTGATATTTCTTGAGCAGCCTTATTTGGTGGCAATTTGTGTTTCAAAGGAAATTATGCAACTTGTTCTTATGCATGTCCGGTCATGTCCTTTCTTGCCACACAGGAATGTTTCATAGAGCTATGCACTTTGCAATCAATAATTGAATAAACACTGTGCTGAGTAGATTTTAAGTCCAGCTATGTGAAGCAATGACATCTGGCTTTTGGCTAATCCACCCTGTTCCAACTTGTTAAATGCACATGCTAAGTGTCGGACACAAAATGGCATTCGAACAGATATGGATATCTCTGTCATGGTTACTTTGATTAGATGAACTTGTAATGAGTGATGGTACTCCATCACAAAGACAGTTTAAGATGGGCGCAATCACTTGCTTAATATCACATGAACAGTTCTATAATACTAGTTTGGGGGTATTAAAGTGGAAGATATGGGTCACAATCCAGTCCTAGTCCCATGGCCTGAGATCTTGATGTTGGACAGCCTGAGACACTAACTACACTTGACATTTATATTTGAGTATGTGCAATGTTGATCTAACTGAAATCATATTGCAGATTTTCAGTACTAGATGCTGTTTGACAGTTTAAGTTGCATTCTGGCTTATTTTTTGTTTTATCATATCTGAAGGTCTAAGATTACTGACTATGATATTTGTCCTTGTCATGTACTTGCGATTTCAGGTTGTTGGGTTGGATTTGGTGGATGACGAGAGCAAGCCTGAAAGACGCCCTACAAAACACATGCCCACGCCAGCTCAATGGACTAATATATTCAATCCTGCGTTTTCGTACTATGTGTATTATTGTTATGCTAACCTTTACACTCTAAACAAGGTGCGTATCATACCTTCAGAAACAACATTATACACTCATTCTGAGAAATGCTAGCAAGTAGGTGTAGGATATGACTTTTGGATTCTAGATTCTTTCTTCTCTCTCTATGAAAAATAAGAGCTATTATGGAACTCCACTTATCCGACCTCATCCATGTCAGTATTGTTTGTTTCATATATATCAGCGTCCTTAGAAATGGAAATTTTGCATATGAATGCCTATTTTGCCTATTTTTTTTTTAATCGAGTTGCATTCCTCTTCCCCATGTAGCATAGACATGGACACTACAGGATAAAGATTCTAATTCGTGAGAAATTTGTTCTTTCAAGTTGCTTGTTCCTTGTTTTACTTTAGTTAAATTCTGCACTTCTAATGTTATGTCTCAGCTTCGTGAGTCAAAGGGCATGACAACTATCAAATTCCGCCCGCATACTGGGGAGGTATCGATGGACGCTCCATTCAACTTTTTTACAATTATCACATTGTATAAAATGCTCATGTATATTATTATGTTTAGGCTGGTGACATTGACCACCTTGCTGCATCATTTCTTACGGCTCATAATATTGCGCACGGAATCAATTTGAGAAAATCTCCTGTACTTCAATATTTGTACTACCTGGCTCAGGTAAGAAGGAAGATTAAACTTCTTTTAGAATGAGGCATATTGAGTGTCGATCATTTCTAATTCTTAATGATTTGTTGTCATCAGATTGGCCTGGCTATGTCTCCTCTGAGCAACAACTCCTTATTTTTAGACTACCATCGGAACCCTTTCCCTATGTTTTTCTCACGGGGCCTCAATGTTTCCCTTTCTACGGATGATCCATTACAAATCCACTTGACAAAGGAGCCCTTGGTGGAAGAATACAGTATAGCTGCTTCTGTGAGTATCCTCCTTCCTTTGCATTACATAAGTACATAGACATGAAATAATGAAGGTTCAAGTAGATTAACTCTCCTCTCTTACAGGTTTGGAAGTTGAGTTCATGTGATCTGTGTGAAATAGCCCGTAATTCAGTCTACCAATCAGGTTTCTCACATGCTCTGAAGGTACATAGTCTTATCCAAGTAATAGCAATTACTGACAGAAAACTTTCCAATCTCTGCTTTCAACTGGAGCTGGGTCTGCTCCAATCCTCTCTTTTGGGTTGGGTCGATTGAGATGGTGCAATTTTTGTGGGTTGGGTCATGTTTTGTTTTGGGTTAGAATTGCAATTCCACTTGACAACAAGTTAGACAAAATTTAACAAAAAAATATTCTTTATCTTGCATCCTCAAAAAATTCTTAAAAATAATATTAACCTAGTATAAAAAATCTAAAGAAGTTAATGAATAAAAGCGATGGAGAAACTATAATTATTGCCACTCTGCCGATAATACATTATCTATTAAATGGATGAGCATTGAAAATGTTGGTTAGACACGTTATAGTCAATTTAAGTTTTGTGTGGGAATTTGACTGAACATTTGGTGTGTTGCATTAAAAGGTGTGTGCTTCTTTGCCTATGGTGGATATGGTGTCCAATGAAATGAGAAATGGGGTAGAGAAATAGTGAAAGAGTAGTCTGAGTGGAGGGTTTGTAAAATAAACATCTAGAGGAGACAAATTGCAGGAATTTTTTTTTGAAAAAATTGCACGAGATACAAAAGATATGGGTGGACATATATAAAAATTCTAGGGGGCAAATTGGAAAATATTTTTATAAATATAGGTAGAAGTAAACTTTTTAAAAAGTTGAGGGAGCAACTGACTCCCCTCTGGGCATTGTGGCTTCATCGTTGGTTAGGCTAGTTCTCAAGGAAACCCGTTGTGCAATAGTATATACTTTTTGTAGATGATATTGTGTTAGTAGATGAGATTAGAGAAGGAGTTAACACAAAGTTGGAGATTTGGAGAGAAATATTTGAATTTGAAGGATTTCGGATAAGCAGAACTAAAACAGAATACATGTAGTGTAAATTTAATAACAGTAACAATGAAAGCAAAGGAGAAGTGAAGATTGAGAATCAAGAGCCATTTAAGAGTGAACATTTTCGTTATTTAGGGTCGATTATCACAACGGCAGGGGAGATTAATATGGATATGGTCCATAGAATTAAGGCGGGCTAGTTTAAGTGGCGAAGTACACCTGGGGTATTGTGTGATAAACAAGTACCCACTAGACAAATGAAATTTTTATAGAACGGCTATTAGATCAACAATATTGTATGGGACGGAGTGTTGGGTAACCAAGAAACAATATGTAGATAAAGTAAGTATTGCTGAGATGATGATGCTAAGGTGGATGTGTGGCAAGACTAAAAAAGACAGAATTAGGAATGAATGAGTATATTCGGAAATGGGTAGGAGTAGCACCGATAGAAGATAAGTTGACAAAGAATAGATTGAGATGATTTGGTCATATTCAACGGAGACCAACAAAGGCAGTAGTGAAGAGATGCGATGCAGTGACGGTAGATGGAAGTGTTAGGAGACGGGGTAGACCTAAATTGACATTGGCTAGCGTAGTAAATAGAGATATGAATCTACTTAATTTGACCAACGAAATGACCTTTAATAGAGCTGTGCGGAGAAGAAAGATTCATGTAGCCAACCCCTTATAAAGCATGGATGCTTCGAAAAACATGCCGTACCCGTACCGGGTACTTACCGACGTATGGTACCTCGTATGGTACTTCTGTATACATATCAGATACACGAAACACGTATCTAAATTTTTTCTTCTTAATTTTTGGAGTACCTAGACGTACCTAGTATATATCCAAGTTGTACTGTATCTCAGTTGAAACAATATTTTTTTCTTCTAAACCAAATCAAACCAAACCAAGCCTTAAGTCCAGTCAAATGGGGTTGGCTACATGAATCCTTCTTCTCTACGCGGCTCTATCAAAGACTATTTCGCTAGTCAAATTAAGTATATCCATATCTCTATTTACGACGCTAGCAAACGTTAATCTAGGCCTATTTGGTCTCCTAACACTTCCATCTACCGTTACTGCATCACATCTCTTCACTACTGCCTCTGTTGGTCTCCGTTGAATATGACCAAACCATCTCAATCGATTCTCTCTCAACTTATCTCCTATCAGTGCTACTCCTATCCATTCCCGAATACACTCATTCCTAATTCTGTCTTGTCTTATCTAGTCTTGCCACACATCCACCTTAGTATTCTCATCTCAGCCACACTTATCTTATCTACATGTTTCTTAGTTGCCCAACACTCCGCCCCATACAACATCGCTGGTCTAATAGCCGTTCTATAGAACTTACCTTTTAATCTAGTGCGTATTCGTTTATCGCACAGTACCCCAAACGCACTTCTCCACTTATACTATTCTGCCTTAATCCTATGGGGCCACATTCGCATCAATCTCCCCCGTTGTTGTGATAATCTATCCTAAATAACGAAAATATTCACTTTTAGGCAAATATTGGTTCTCAATCTTCATTTCTCCTTTGCTTTCATTGTTACTGTTACTAAATTTACACTTTCTGTCTTAGTTCTGCTTATTCGGAATCCTTTAAATTCAAGTGGTTTTCTTCAAATCTCTAATTTTGTATTAACTCCTTCTCTAGTTTCATCCACTAGCATAATATCGTCTGCAAAAATCATACACCATGGCACGTCATCCTGAATATTTCTCGTCAACTCATCCATAACTAAAGCAAAAAGATAAAGACTCAAGGTAGATTCTTGGTGTAATCCTACAGTAATAGGAAATTCATTTGTCTTTCCAGCAAGCGATCTAATAATGGTCATTACCCCTTCATACATGTTCTTAATTATATTAATGTAACATTTTGTTACCCCTTGCTTCTCTAACATCCACCATATTATATCTTTAAGCATTCTATTGTATGCTTTTTCAAGGTCGATAAACATCATATGAATGTCTCTTTTCTTTTCTTTATACTTTTCTATTACTCTCCTCAGAAGATAGATTGCTTTCATTGTTGACCTGCCAAGCATAAACTCAAATTAATTCTCTGATACCTTTGTTATATCTCGCAATTGGCGTTCTATCACCCTCTTCCACACTTTCATTATATGACACATTAGCTTGATTCCTCTATAGTTGTTGCAACTTTGAACATCTTCTTTATTCTTATAGATTGGCACTAAAATAATCTTCCTCCACTCATCTGACATGTTCCTAGTCAACAAAATTTTGCTAAACAACCTAGTCAATCAAGCAACCTCTTTTTTATCCAAACACTTCCAAGCTTCAATAAGAATATCATCGGATTCTAAAGCCTTATTTGATTTCATCTTATTAAGTGCAATCTCTACTTCAAAGTTCCTATAAAACCTATAGTCTTGGTTTATCGTATTACTGGCTATTTCTTCCCCTATTGACGTTCCTTCATGTTCTTCATTTAATAGTTTCTCAAAATAGTTTTTCCATCTTTCCTTAATCTCTTCATCATTCACCAATACCTTAGAATCCTCGCTCTTGATGCACTTAACTTGATTAAAATCTCTTATTTTCCTCTACCGTATTTTAGCAAGTCTGTATCCTTTTCTATGATTAATAATATTTTCTTCTTCTACAGAAGTAAAACTCCTTTCACTAGACTTCTTTTTTATTTTTTGTTTTATGTTTAGTATGATTTTAATATTAAACTATGATTTGTAAGTTATTTAATATATTGACATTTAATTTTGATTTATATTTTTACTTTTAACATTAAGTGTTAATTGTAGGTTGAACCTTAACAAATTAAATAATTAATTTTTGCATTACTCTTAATTAAAAATAAATATTTTTTTGCAAGTGTACCAAGCCGTACCCGTACCCGTACTACTTTTTTTTTTTTTTAAAAAAAATTTACCGTATCGATGTACCCATATTGTATCAGTACCAGTACTCGTACCAATATCCGATCCCATTTGATGAGACTTCAGGCTTGGTTGGTTGGTAACAATGATGTAGTTTTGTTACTGGTGGAAACTTTCAATTGAAGTGATTATGGATTTTAACTACAAAATCTCTTGGTCCATATGCTTTTTGACTTCTTGACATGCTCAAAAGAATGTGATGGGCACCTTGTGGATGTACGAATGTCATAGAGCACTGCCTTGAAGAGACTATCGAGAAGTTGAATTTGTGATTATTGTATATCCATTATAGTCCTAATATTTCTCAATCTTAATTTGTTTGTCGGGTGGTCTGTTGATTAGACACATTTTTCGGTTGCATTGGTTAAGCTTTGTTGCTACTTTAAAGCAACTATAAGTATAAACTACATGGTGAGAGACTGAATTCTGTGGGAATTTTTTGGTCTATTATGTTTATTCTTTTTTTAAGCCAATCCCAAATACTATGGATTGTGAAGTTGAGATTGTAAGTTTGGTTTTGTTTTGTAAGCTTATGTAGTTAATAACTAGAATGGTATGTGCTATTTGATTCTTGGGAAAGTATTTTCTCATTTTTGGTTATTGACCATCGAGTATTTTTGGTCGTTTTTGTTTTGTTAGTCGCACTGGATTGGGAAGGAGTACTACAAGAGAGGACCTGATGGCAATGATATTCACAGGACTAATGTGCCTCGTATCCGGTTGGAATTTCGCGATTTGGTATGTTTGTGGAACCTTTTGCATCTGGTTTTTTATATGTTTTTGTGCTCTCTTTTTTATATAGTTCTACTTTATTTGAAGTCTCAATTTGGTACTGAAGAAGCGAGACTTCAGAGAACCGTTGCCTTCATTTTAAAGAAAAAAATGCAAGAAATAGTTGTAACGATTCAGGCTTTCACAGCTTAAGTAGAGTGATACTAGTTAACAAGTTATATAGTTTAGGGAATGAAAAGAAGTGGTGAACCGTGTTGTTTGCCTACCTCGTTACGTGAGAAAGCATATGCTGAAATCAGAATCAAAATGATACGTGAGATGGTTTGGACATTGATATCCTTGCCCAGTTGCATTTTCTGTTAAAACAAATGGGCCCCTGAGAGAATAACAAGTTGCTAATTAATGGAACTTTGCTTTGCAGATCTGGAGAGAAGAGATGCAACTAGTTTATCTAGGGAATGCCAGTTTTGCTGAATACATGGAACCATAATATGCTTGGCTTGTGCTACTGCATTCTCACTATTTCTTATGTTTCCAGAGGTACCTATCAGGAGTTTATTGTTTTTGGAGATTTCTCAGTAAATATATATATATATATAACAGAAAGATGGTTTGTGTTCTATCACCAGTTGTCGGAGGTGAAGGGCCTGCATTTCTTCTCACCAACAGTGAGTTGTACATGAGTCCACGAACTGGCCTATAGTGCAAGCCAGAGGTTAAAGCAGGCAAATGTTGCGGGACATGAGTCTGCAAATATGCATGGAAATGTATTTGGTATTTGAGGAAGAGCTTGGGTCTGCAGAACAGCCTAGAGTACCTAGCTAGATCCATCCCAATATATATATATATATATATGAGTGAATGGAATCTAGTTTTTTAAGGTTTACTTAGGTTAACAATAATTAAATACATCATTAGTGAACTTTATACTAATGCTTAGCTTATATTTACCAAAGGGAAGCAAGGAAAAATTCTTCCCATGCGTAAATTTGTTTTGTATTCATGGAATAAACGTGTAAAACGTTGAAAGATTGTCTTTATTACCCATGATAAGGAATAAACTTAAAGGGCATTATTGTATGATCATAATTTCAAAGGGCATTCATTCAGTGTTGCTCCTGAAATGAAAAGGTGTGATTTAAAATACACAAATGACCCAGTGCTTTCCGTATTTTTAACTACTCTTTTTTTATGATTGACAGTACTGACACCTACTGGAAGTGATTTTCGAAGGGGTGTTTGGTTGTGTTTTCATTTCTAGGAAAATAGAACTTACGATGGGTCCCGGACTCCAATACCAAATAATAATATATAAAAAAAAAAAAAAAAAACCTTTGGATGGCTTATTAAAGATCAATGATCTATGCCTAGAGTGTTGCAAGATCACTGCTCTAGAAAGCTGTATAGGCAACAAGGAGAGTGGATCTGCTGCAAAGCGGAGCCTCCAGCGGTCTGGAGGAGGCTTGTAGTTGTGGCACTATTTCGGATTCCCAACCGATTTTGGCACTAGTTAAATGGGGTAAATTAGCAGATCTTGAATAAACTATAATATCATCAATAGGGTGTCCCTCAATTTAATAGTAATTAGTTTATACAGCAAAGATCATCACTTTGTAGCTATTCATAAACAGTAACCATTCATAGCTTCACAATGTATCTGATATCCTTTGTCATCCCAAGCAATAACAAACTTTGAAACAAAGGCAAAAAGATGCAGATCAAGTGTCAATAACCTACAAAAAGTACATCCTCATGACAAGTTTTTTTCCCCATATCTAAGCCAGTCACCCATTCAAAACTGAATAAGCTGCAAGTTCAAAAAATAATCATAGAAAAGTGGCACAGGGAATAGAACTACTCCGCCAAAAGGCCTCCAGAATTCAAGGTACAATGGATATTTCAAAATCATGCTTTTATTTTCTTATACTGCTTTATTTCTTGAATTATACCATCAGTAAGTGCATCAACATCATAGTTCTTCCCGAAAAACTTCAGGAAATCCATGTTAGGATCCATCAAGTACCTGCAAAATGTTACCATAAAAAACATCAGAACATGGTTCATATGAGTATATAATCCAATTCTTGTAATCTTTTGCTAGGAATGAGAATTTCAACAAGGTCATTCAAGTTGAGCCAGACATCTCTCTTGAACATATGTTCAAGTTGACCTAGAACATATGCTGAAATAATTTATCCACTTCATGTTTTTCAAGGGATCATGTAGATAAACTGATATTCAGAAGAACTGAAATTATTCTCTAACTCCATCTATTTTTATTTCCAACTCTATCCAAGAAAAAGATGTACACTAGGAAGAAAATTTCAGTGTCCTAAGGCTCATGATAATCATCAGCAAAGGATCTCTGCAACAAAATTAAGGAGAAAAGGATAGCAGGTAAAAAGAATAGCTCATTTTTATCATGATTAGAGAGATGTAGTATAGACAAACACCAATTGCCAATCAATTTGAAAAGAAAATTTCCTATCACAATAAAGCAATATCTGATAATTGGATTAACTGTTGCAAAGAGAAGGTACCCATTGTCTGCAATTTGTACATTTACTAACATCAATGAAAACGAAAATGACTCATGTCCAGAGCAGGGATGACACCGATAGCATATAAATATTTATTAATTTGAGTCATGTTATCAAAATAAAGGCTATACATACATGATTATTGAGTGATCAACGAGGTAGTCCGAGCCTTCCTCTTCTGTCTTCATATAGTAGACTCGAAAAGCACGAGCAGCTTTCTTTATCTCATCCGGGTTACCAGTTAGTCCAACCAAATTTGGGTGAAATTCTGGGACATTCATACAGATATAAAAAGAACAAGTTGAGAGACATAAAAGCATCATATGCAACTATTTATAAATCATGCATCTTGAGTATGCAATTCCAATCTTAAGCACCTTTAACATATTCGCGAACTTGCTCAACAGTGTCTCTTTCAGGATCAACTGAGATGAATACTGGTACAATTTCAATCCCTGCTTTTTCCTCTGCAAGCATAAATTTAAAAAAAAAATTAAAAAAAAAGAAAAAGAAAAAGAAAAGAAAGATGCCATCACGAAACCATCAAGATAACAACACATTTTCAAGTGAAGGATAATGAAATAATGGAACCTCCACTTCACCATCAGGAAGTGTTGGCGTTTAATGACCTTATATTTGACAGATTGTTCTGTCACGAGAACTTGATGAGTAAACCTTATTCAAGCTTTAAAAAAGGAAAAAAAGATCATTTCTAAAGCTGTCACTAGTCCCAAATGCCTTCATACCAGAATTCCATGTACGACAATCAAGGTTTAAACTGCTGTCGGATGACAAAGGGTGTGGGTAACAGGCCATAAATCATTTTCTCTTTCTTCTTTTGGATCACACAACTCCACCAAATAGTAGGAATACACATGTTTTAAACCTCAACTCCCCTAATTTAAATGATGTTTGATAAAGCAAATAGTTTTTACTAATTTTTTGGGCACACAACTCCCTCAAATTATATATACAGATACATTCTGTGTTTGTTTTGAATTGTTCGCCGAGAATAATACATTACTGCTTTTACAACCATAAAAGCATTAATAACATAGTTAGAAATCTTCTTCTTTTAATGAAATAAATTGGAATTTGTAATACCTATATGATGATTCAAGAAATGCAAAATTGCATTTTCCCATCAAAACTTGATTTCTCATTTTCAGATCTCCAATCCATTTAACATGAAACAATTAGCAACTTACTTATTTTATCAACTGCATCAGCAAGCTTTTGTAGCTCATCTGGGCATATATCAGGACAGTGCGTGAAGCCAAAATATACCACCGTCCAGTTTCCCAAAAAATCTCTATCAGTCACTGCATTCCCATTATGGTTGATAAGATTGAATGAACCACCAATGGCTGCTTTCCCCGCAGATGGTCCCTGTTTTACTGCATTTGAAGAAGTATTTATTTCTGCAGCAATAAAACTTCAATCAGCGCAAGGTCAAATAATGAAAATATTAACAACTCTTAAAAGTATAGGATAGTCACACACATTGTAGAGTGTAAGAGACCAAGAGGCAGTCAATAGAATAGGCTATGGATCAAGAATGCGCAATTCAACACCACAATTTGGAGTTTTACTAATTTCTAATGACTTTTTGTTCAGCTTACCAGTTGAAAACATGATTCACTGTAGCTGATGTATTTTAAAAAGTTGCGGTCAAAAGAGTTTTATTTTCTATTTTTGCACTTGAGGCCTGCACTCTCATCTATATTAGAGGACATTAATGCAAAATGGGGAACTACATGTTAGGCAAATAAGACTTGAAGGAAATAAACATGTTAATATGAAATCAATTAAACATTGATTCCATGAATTATACTTTAATGATTAATTACATTTTCATTATTCAACTTTCCAGGCCACACCAGATGTATATGTATTGAGGCCAACAAAAGGCCTTGAGCTGAATTGAAAAACAATATTTGCCAGATGAATGCAACTACAATCCCAATCAACCCAAGCCAAATTCTGTAACTTCCAACAAAGCATATAAATAATAAAACCAGAAATAAGCTTTTGATTGGATCATCAAGAGCCCTAATTTAAGCTTCCAACTACTGCATACAAGGCAGAAGAAGAATATTTGCAAAAGTTCTGTTCAAGATTTCCAGTATAACAGTAGTACAATTCGAAATTTATTCTTCCACATCAATCCAAACTACAAATCTCTAATCACCTTGGTGACAGAATGCGACAAAGTTTCACCCATTAAAAATTTGTGGTCCCTCAACACAATAATCGCCCTAGGAGACCTGTAACTTATTAATTGTATTGTGACAAATTATGGTGAAAAAAATAATACATGAACAAGTTCGAACAACAGGTTGAGCTGAATACACAAAATTAATTAATGATAATAACTGCACAACTACTAGTCTTTTAGTGAAGAATGAAGGGAATGTACCCAAGCAGGTTACTAATTCATAGAAAATTACTAAAAAAAAGTCCATTACATGATTATCAGGTCTACAGTTCAACTTACAAGTATCCTACAGTCCTACTCACCATAGTAATCTACCTTCAATATGCCGTTTCTTCTCCCTGTCGTAGTAGAAGATTAGTCCTGCTCCAGTGGCAACCAGCAAAAGAAAGCTCAACCATGAAACAGGCTGCAAAAGGAAAATTAATCCATTTCATTTATTTATTGGACAAGTAAAGAGTATTGGATTACAAATTACAAGTCAGTTTAAAAAAATCTATTATATTAAATTCATCGCAGCAGTCACATTATACAACTAACAAGAAACGCAGGACAAAGGATGATTCTGACATACTAAGTTACTAACATATGTACAAATAAACATACAGGTTCAAACAAATAAGCAATAGCCAAGATGAGTAAAATCTAACTACAATCCATTTTTGGATGCATGTATCATGCACCTAATCATCCAAAATCTAATTGTGTTACGCTTATCACCATTTTTATCGTGCACTCCACAACTCGTAAGGGAGTATACCATCTCTCTCGCTACTTCGTTTTGCAAATGCATCGCACATATATATATATATATATACACACACACAGAAATATATATAAGCGTTAAGGAATCGATAGAAATTACCCCTCCGCGAACAGATTTTCCTTGGTCGGCAGTGTGTTGAGATTGATCGGACTCGTCGCCATTTCCAGAGGCACCTTCTGGAGATCCTTTTGTCGGTGAATTCGCCTGATTGACAATCGTAGTAGCAGTACACAGACATCTACGATGATAAATCGCCAAAGATTGCAATCCAAGACTCAGCCGAAATTCCTAGAAATGAAATTAACAACAATTTATTCAACAATACACACACACACACACACACACACATATAGAGAGAGAGAGAGAGAGAGAGAGGACGAACCGATTGGGGGAGAGGAAGAGGAAGAGGAGGAGGAGGAGGAGGAGGTCGGTGGAGTGGAGTCTCGAGAGGTCCATGAAAGAGACGGAGACAAGGCTTGGGTGATCTCGGAAGTGTGTAGGAAGTGAGAGAGCGATAAAAGCAGCGAAGGCTTGCGTTTCTTGAGATCGCAGTCGCCATGGACAAAAGGTGTTTGTTCTGTTGTCTATGAGAGAGAGAGAGACTACTATAACAACGACGCACACAGACAGATATCAAAAGAAAGAAACGGCTTTTTTCTTCTCTAAAACCCTATTTATTTTATATAAATTGCGTATGTTTTACGTCTCACGGTGGCATGGGCTCCGTGGCACTACTTCGTTCAAAAACTGTGTTTTTTTTTTTAAATTTTCGGTTTGTTTTTTTTTTTTGGAAAAATTATTTTAAAGAGTTCTTTTTCTATTTTTTTATATTTTAATTAGTAATTTTTTAATTTTCATAAGAATTTAGATTAAAAAAATATAATAATATTTGTTACAATTTCTGAAAAATCAAATAAACAGTTTTTTTTTTTGCTTTCAGTAAATATTTTTTAAACTTAATTTAGATATACTTTAAAATAAAAATACATAAAAAATATTTTTAAAATTTATAAAATTAAAAAAAATTTAAAAATTTTGCAAATAATTTTATTTTTTATTTCAATGGGTAACATCTTTGCAACTGCAAATTGTTATGTAAAAATTCTGTCAATTTATTGTGTGTTTTGATTATTACCAAAATTTCACACGACGACATTTGCAGTGATATGACTTTCAAAAAGTCTAAATAGTCAACTTTTAGATTTCTCACCTTTTAGCCTCCTGGTAGTGGATTTGGGAGATTGCTTGTGCAGCAAAATAGATTTATTTTGAATTTTATTTTAATAATTCGAATAGTTTATATTTTAAAATATATCAAGTAAAATATATTTATATTTATAAAAATAAATAATAATTATGATTTAAACTATTAAAATGAATACAAATGTGAATGAATAAATGATATCCAATTAATTTAATTTTTTATAAATATATTCTACTTGATATATTTTAAAATATGAATAGTTCATATTATTAAAATGAACGAACCCGAAATGAGCACATTTTACTACTGTGCGAGCTGCACAACAGCCACCTCAAATCCCTTGTCTTGGCTAGTTCAAAAAATTAAAAAAGATAAAAAAAAAAATAAAAATAACAAAGAATGAAAAAAATTGTCTCCCCTCCCATCCGCATAAGTCCCAAAAAAAATAAAAAACAAAGGAAGAAGACGCACGACAAAAATCAGTACACCAATATTTACAAGATTCAGTTACAAAACATTATGGGAGAGAGAATTCCTGTTATATATTTTTTTTTTTTTAAAAAAAAGAGACAATACAATGATTGAAAGTGTCACCATACATGATAAAATGAATACAAATTATATTACCAAAATTTAGTAATATAATTTTTGCATTGATAAAATTTAGGTATGAAAATAACATATTCACACTCCCCTTTAATCTCTCACCTTTTCTTTTTTTTTTCCCCAATCATCTTCCCTCTCCATGAAAAAATATAAAATTTCAAATAATTGTAGGCACCATCAATCTATCAGTATTCACTCTTAAATAGGGAATGTAATCAGGGGGACGCTTTTACCTAAAATAGGTATCTTCCACAAGGGGGTTCAAATCAAATTTTGCTAATTTTGCACATATGAACTATAACTCATTAACCACAGGTGGTACAAATTGAGTCCTTTTGTAAGAGGAAGCAGAATATAACTTATAAGTATCAAGGCAGCCTCAAGAAAACATTTACACACGGGATTGTGTCTGCATCTCTCCCATAATTACAATATACCAACACATCATCATCAGAAGAGCAGGTTGATAGCACAGGTAGTAAAAATTCGTACACATCACGATGTTGATCTGTGGTTGCCAGCCAAGTATATATCACTGTTTTTTAAAATCCTGCAGCAAATGCAAGAAATGTGATTAGGCAAAGCTCACGGCAAATGGCAAGCTTACCAACACAGTGATTAATAATAGTTTTCTACCTCAAAATTCCTCGACAAATCCTTCACTTGCTCAGTAAGTTCTCGTTTCGTCTGGGCAGCTGAAACAATTATTCGGAAACAGCATTAGCCTCAGCATAAACACAATGCAGTGCATATTATTGAGTGGAAATGAACAACAGAAATCATATCAATCAGTACCCTTAATAGAAAGATCTTCAATTCTCTTCGATGTCCTCACTGCGAATCTCTGGAATGCAGGGCTGAGAAACCACAACACAATGAATTTAGCCAACCCCTACTTAGTTGTTTATCCGTTGTACGTTGATTATGCTTCTCTCTACATGAATTCTTTCACTTCTATGTAACTTCAGATAGAAAAACATCACTGCTTCAATTGGAAGCTAAAAAATAATATGAGAAACAAAACAAGGGAATTGTATAAACCAAGTGGCAGTTCACCATCATATCTGGCTAGATACACAAATGGTTTGTGGTCTATCACCACCAAAACATTTTTCTCTTCAACATATGAACAAACATTGAAGAATAATGTGAGGCCATGGGACAAATAGAATGATACGAAAACCATTTAAATCATGTGTCTCCCAAAAGTCCAGTTACAACATAAAAGTTGCAATGGATAGCGAGGGTGCATTGCTTTAGCTTCTTCAATCAGCATCACCAGATTTGAACCAATCAAATAGGTCATATTGAATTGCTCAAGTCAATGAAGCATTGGTTCATTACAAAGGACAGCCTAGTGTGCAAGGCTCCCATCCCATCATTATAGGGCTTGGAAATGGTCAAATGTACACAGCCTAAACCTTAAATGCAAAGAGGCTGTTTCAATATTTCAAAACCATAACACCCAAGTCACAATGGAGGAACTTTACTTGCCATTGCGCCAAGACATGCCCTTCCAATGAATCAAAAATATAATAAACCATATATGTGAAGAAAAAGAAATTTTCATGTCCTTAGATTCAATAGTGACTACACTAAACTAATTGCTAAGACAATATCAATATTCAATACAATTTGGTCAATTTTCAAATTCCAAACTACTAGAAAAAGAACAAGAACAAGAACAAGAACAAGATCAAGATCAAGAAGAAGAAGAAATAAGCTCCTTAGGTAGTGTTTGGTTTGGGTCACTAGAATTTAGTAGAATAGAATGGCCATTCCATCAAAATGCCTATTAATATTCTTGGTTGACTAACAAAGAATGAAAAATACATTGCAAATGAAAGCATCATTAACTGTTGTAAGGAAATGATCATTCTATAGGGGAGTCTAAGGAATGACCATTTCATTCCATTGCATCTCATGAACCAAAAACATTACAACAATCAATAGAGGTCTATGGAGACATCATAGGCAAACACTTCATTATACACGAACATACAACTTTCTACACAGCCCAAGTACACCCTCAAGCTAAATTACAACACTAGAACAATGGCACTCAATTTTACAACTTAGGCCTCGTTTGGCAAGAGGTTATTTTAGCCAATTAGCCAAAAAGTTACTAAATTAGCCAAAAAGCCAACAACCCATACCAAAAAGTCAAAGATTCTCTTTTCTCTCTACTTTTTGCACATCTTTTCGTAATTAGCCAAAAAGTCATCCCAAACATACAATTTTTTTTACCTACATTTTTAGCCAAATAGCCAAAAAGTTACTAAATTAGCCTGTTCCCAAACGAGGCCTTAATAGACAATTAAGACAGAGAGAAAAAATCTTGAGTTAAAAGGAAGAAACCGTCGACCCACAAAAGTATGGTCAAATTACAATGGGGAAAACATTGGTAATAACAGATAAAAATACATATTTTTTATTATGTGGAATAAGTCTTATAAGAATAACATGTAGCACAAATTTCTTAAACTTTCAAACCTACAAATCAACACATATCAGAACATTTGAAACGTTTTCACTTCAGGGGATAAAGCATATCAGGAACCAAATGATCCAAATGGACAAAACCAAAGTTTCAATTGAACAACAAAATTATAGAATTCAGAAGCAAAAAAATTTATCAGTTTAACAATAAATGTACAGAGATGAGTGAAGGAGTACCTATTTGCAAGACCATTAACAACGACCTCGTTAACCACATAAGATATGACTCTGTGCAAGAAATTCCCTCCCGCCATGATCGTACCTCAGTGTTTCTTCTCACAGGCTAATCAACAAAACACAAATTCAATTTTAGGAATCATAATCAACTAAAGCTGAGAACTTTAATGATTTGATTACGGAGATTGAGAAATTTTTACAAACAATACGAACTTCGAAGCGAAATTATTGAGAAAATTTGCGATTTAAAAATCCATATTACCTGAGAAACAATAGCGAAGCGAAGAACCCTAGTTTTGAGTTTCTCGAAACCCTCGACTATAGACCGGGCTGAGACCGAACCGCATTTTATATGCGGAGTGTAGGCCTAATGTTCGGGAAGATCAACGGTTGAGATTTGTCGGGTCATTTGCCAAGTTTGCGGGTTATTGGGTTATGGGTTGTTAGGTTATGCTTGGACTCTGTTTGTTTGATAGGAAACCTTGAGAGAACGGGGAAAAAATGGAAATATTATCAAGAATTCCTTTCTATTTGATGCAATTTTAGGTCTCGTTTGAAACAGATTATTTTAATATTTTTTTAATTTTTTAGTTAAAATATGAGATAAAAAAATTAATATATTTTTAATGTCTTTTTATTTTTTTTCAAAAAGATGTACAAAAAATAAAGAAAAAAATAAAATTTTAATTTTTTTGTATAAGTTATTAACTTTTTAATTTTTTTTAATGACTTTAACTCTTAGAATAGTGAATTGCTAAACGAAACCTTAGTAGAGGCAAAAACGACCTATAAATTTTTAACAATTCTTTGTTTATGACAATTAAAAAAATATGAAAATCATGCTTATTATTTGTTTCTCATTTTACTTAACAAAACTAATCTCTATGATTTACCGATTAATGCTTGAGACCTTTAAAATTTGTGACCCTCATGACCCCCTCAATTGATGTGGACAAGATATGTATGTATTTTTTTTTTATTTTTTCCTCTCTCATAGGTGCATGGGGTCGCGAGGGTTGGATTTTGTGAGGCCTATATCAAAACCTTGATTTACTTATAAATTTTTCAATCATGATTCAAAGCTCTAATAGTAGAGCTCTCATTAGAACTCCACTGACGTGGCAGGAAGCAAAAAAAAAAAAAAAAAAAAAAAAAAACAACAAGATATATGCATCACATTATCAGCGGGTGAGGCCCACTGTCAGCTCATTGGAGCTATGATTAGAGCTCTATAATTAGAGCTCTAAAACATTTTGAGTCCACTGCCATCTCATTAAAATTGTGATTAGAGCATCATAATTAGACCTCTAAAATTTTTCACTATCTAATGATTGATTTGGAACACAAGCCATGTCATGTAAGGTTGGGGGACTGCTGGATAATTCTAACTAAAATGTTGGGGGTGTTTGGCTTGGTTAGATTGCGTTAACAGTATCTCTAATAGTCTTTTTAATTTTATTTTTATTTATGTTTTTCTATTTTATGGAGTCAAATGTGAAATAAGTTTTTTTGAATAGGCTCCCTATTCAATTCTCTATTTAAGAAAGAAAACTTCTGATTCTTTACATTTATAGAGACTTCAATCACTTTCTATAATTAAAAAATCTCTTATCTTTTTCTCAAATGGTGGAAGAGAGAATAAAGTTTGAAAAAATATTTTTAATGACAATGATAAAAAAATAAATATTTTTAAAATATTTAAACACATATAGAGAAAAAATAGAGAATATTACTAGAAATGGTAATTGAAATGGTGATTCATAAAATAGGAAATATGCTTTTTAACTAAAATCTAAAGAAAATTTAAGCACTACATGGCATATATGGGTTGGTTTAGAATGTGAGTTTGATTTTTGACTTTTTGACTATTAATCTGGCGTTAAAAAGTTTCGTTTAGTATGGTCTTTTAACTTTTTTGACTTTTGTGAGAGAAAAAATAAAATGATTATGATTTAGATATGATATTTTTTAATTTGGAACTAAAAAATCTATTTTATTTTTTTGTGACTATTTTAGTCTCAATCCACTCCAACCCAACTTCCCAAACGAGTGCAATATGTATTTTGTTTTACAAAAAATAAACTTAAACGTGTACTTTAATGTCTTCTATAAATAAAGAACAATAAACATTATTGAAAGGCACCTTAGTATTAATTTTTGCCATTGTTTTTAAAGAATTTTTGGGTACTTTGTATCATTGAAATAGTACTAACTTAGACAAACAAATAAAAGATCAAATTTGCAAATATATAATAAAAGAAAATTTCCTAGAGAGGAATGAAAAAAAGCTATATAGAATTGAAATCTTTTGACACAAAAACAAAAAACATACCAACATACAAACAAACAAAACAAAAATGTACATGTTGATAATTTTCTTTGCTACAAATAAGCTAAAAATATTTGATTCCACGTATCAGGAACTCCGGGCAAACACCAATGTATGCAATCTGAATTGTCGGCAATTTGCTTATTATTAGTCAACATTTCTTTTTTCAATTTAACGTAAATTGATGAATGAGCATCTTTACGATACTCTGATAATTGCGTTATGTTGATGAAAGTGATTGGGACTTTCATTTTTTCCACCACATTGGCCACCACACTCATCATCCCTTTGTTAGACCCACTTCCCCAATACCTCTTCTTCATCACTGGCTTTGTTTCATTGTAGCATCTGATCCCATCCTTGTTTTTCCAATCTACACTTCTGAATATATGAGGTATAAATATTAGTTAGTATAGGGATCTTGTAAAAAAAATAGGTAATTATTCAGTATTTTCGGAGTATGGACACGTGGTACTCCATAAAGTTTTGATTGGTAGAAAGGGGTAGGGGCTCACGATTTATGTTGGGAATGGGGGAACAATATGGGGCTAAGTATTTGATAATTGATTTGGAGTATGACCACATGCTATTCCGGAATTATTGAATAATTTTTCAAAAAAATTCAAATAATTCTATGACGAATAGAATCCAGAATGGAATTTTTTTAGTTGATAATAAATAATTTTACGACTTTTTAACTTTTTTATATCAGAAGTAACCCTTTTCTTGTTACTTCAAACACGCACTTGGTTTTGTAAATGTCACTTTCAAGTTTTCAATCTAAGAATGTTTTTCATAAATATGTTGAATAAACATGTGAAATGAACTATTTATAGATGAAGGACAAAATCCTCATACATTTGGACATGGTTTGAAATATAAACCAATTGCTGATAATATTTTACAAAACTCAATATAGAATCCTAAGTCCCTTTTGCTTATGATCAATACATAAATCGATCACAAAAATAAATATAAAACATATATACAGGAATAGATAAGATTTTACGAATTTGTTGGTAAGACATTTTAAAAAATTTGCTCCATTCATACATTATATATTTTATTCCATAATCAATTTATGTGTTCTTAGACTTATCTAGAATATATATATATATATATATATAGAGAGAGAGAGAGAGAGAGAGAGAGAGAGAGAGAGAGAGAGAGACAGAGAGAGAGAGAGAGAGAGAGAGAGAGAGTACTTTGAGTGAGTGGGAGACATAGTAGTGAAAAACACACGAGTTTTGTTAGGATCAACATTTGAGTCAACCCAGTTGGCCCATGTTTTCAATCCCATTCTGTAGGCAACCTGTGTCTCCAATTCTTCAGATCCTTCTTCACCATTTGCAAATGAACCCCACCTGTTTTCTCAATCACACATTTTTAATTTCACCTCAATCACACTTTGCTACAAACAAATACAAAAAACCCACGTAAAGTTTTGTTTGGATCAATGACTTATAAATAAAAATAAAAGTTAAATTATTTTTACTTTTCCCTTCACATTTTCATTTTTTTTTTTATTTTGATAAATCTTTCTTAAAATCTTTAATCCAAATATAATGTAAAAAAAAGTTAACTAATAGAGATAGGACTTTTATTTTCTTCTGAGAAAGAGAGAGCTTACAGTGAATTGACCTTGGTCCCACTCATCCACCAAACATAAGTATTAAAGGCTAAGATATCAACTCCTTCCCAGTATTTGGAATGCTTGGAAAGTGAATCCACTTTGACTATCCTTTTCTTTGGATCTGCTAGTATTGGATTATCTGTATTGGACTCCACTAGAAATGGTGCCCAGTAGAACTCAATTGTAGCCTTGTACTCCTGAGTAATTTATAGATGAGAAAAAAGAAAAATAAATTGGCTAAGAATATTATAAAATATCTTGGAGAAAAAATAACAACACCTAATTAAAATCAGTGAGACATAAAACAACAAACAAGAAAGATAATACAAATCAAAATTATCACACATACAAAACAATATAAGAATTTACGTAATTCATTCTATAAATGAGGATTACATGAAAACAACAGAAAAATTATTAAAGTTTCAAAAATTTAGGAGAGGCTGATGGTTTTGTGATAAGTGCTTATTACGACTTGCAATATCCAACAAAATTATACCAATTTTTAAATCCGTCAAAATTAGACAAAGAGAAAAAATAATTTTAAAATAATACGAAAAACAAACATAAATCAATTTTTTTTTTTTAAAAAAAAAAAAACTCTTTTGATCAAGTTAAATATTTTCCCCTCTCTGCTAAAATGGCCAGATACCTTGGCTTTGAAGACAGAATGAGAGCGGCCTCGTTTCATGGATTTCTGATCTTGAGGTATAATGGAATCAACCAGACAAACGAACGATGCCCATTGATTTTTTTGCAGAGAATCCCCAACAAACATTAGCCTTTTTCCTCGAAGTTTCTCTAGTGCAATTTTTGGATTGAACCTGAAAAATATGAAAGAAATCATTTCAGACAACTTTCTCTAATCATATAAAATTCCATGCATTAGTATATATAAGAAAGTGAAAAAAATTCGTAAGTACCGTATGCAGATTTTTTAATTCCAACTCCCTAGAAATTATTACATGGATTTGGTACCCAAGGTGATCGCATGCTTGACTAATGGTGTTTTGTGATTTATTCATATTATTCATATTTTTATAGTTACATAATTTTTTGTCATTAGAATGCACATTCTGTTTTGAAAAGACATAATAATTATTTTTAAATTTTTAAATATCGAGATTTGTATGTTTTGAGATTCCAATTATATGAGATAATTATTCAATAATCTCAAAATATAGACATGTGATATTCTATATTATTGTAATTGGTAAAGAAAATGGACATATAAGATATTGTGTTAAGTAATTAAAAAATATAAAAAGACATATTAAATAATAATTAATTAAAGAATATAAACACGTGATACTCTAATAATATTTAATAATTTCCCATCCACATGAAACAACACAACATTTAATAGTTTCCCATCTACATGAAACAACTAGATGTGTAGAGATTTCAGGAGAGAATAGTCCTGTCAGACACAATGACCCATGCTAATCGGTAAGACCACAACGCCTCGTGTATTTTGTACTTTATGTTGTGGGTTTTATTTGAGTTTTTTGTTTTTCAATTTCTTTTTTTTTTGTATTTAATGAATTTTTTCGTATTTAAGTTTTTTTTTTTATTTTGTAGATATACCTAAAAAAAATATTTGTAAAAAAATATAGAAAAAAAGTTTATTAAAAAAAAATCAGCATATGTCTAATAAATGTTTTAAAAAAATTTTAAAAATATTTTACACCTAGATCAGGTGGACCTAAAAAAGCAAAAACTAAAAATAAAAATTGATTAACATACGGAAAAAAAAAAAATTTTCAAAAACAAAACGAGTTGTACACAAAAAAAATTCTTGAAATTGAAATATACAATGTAAGAAGTGATTTTCGTACCTAGGCAACATACAATCATCTGGTTGCCATTCCCATTGACGATAATCAGAATCGGGCCGTCCATTCTTAAGACAAGAGAATTGCCTATCGAGGTATCGGCAAGTCTGGTCCGAGTACAATGGCTCAAATGAACTGTTAAACACCCATTTTCCATGGCCAACACTACACTCATTTGGGTCAAACTCAAACCTATCATCAACTTCTGAGTTAACTACCTCATCTTCTGCATTTCTCTCATCTGCATCAACATTTCATGTATACTACAACATTAGAATCATTAGTTAGGATATGTTTGGAATTAAATATTTTAGTTAAAAAGTCTAAAAATCACTACAAATTGTTGAATCGTTGTTTCTTTTTTGTTGCCGTCTTATCGTAAAAAATTAAAAACACTACTAAAAAGGTTAATTCTCAAATGAGCCCTTAATGTAGAAACCAATTTAGTTCTCTCAGTTGTTCCTATGACCCATGTTGAAAACCATGAGTTTGAATTTGGTAATGGTTAAAAGTTGGATTCTCTATTCATTCTTGAGGTTATGTGTGAAGATTTAGCCTGATAATTATATGATATATATAGGATGAAGAGCTGTATGTACTCAGGATTGACCCGGATGACAAGTAAACCATTGAACATTATTCATGTGGTTCTACTTTTTATATAATTTGTTTCTTGAATCAATTTAGTCATTGTAGTTCTAATTGTATCAATTTTGTCTTTTAATTTTTCATTTAGATCAATTTAGTCTAATTGATAATATCAATTAAAAAAAATTAAGGGCAAAATAATTCATTCAAAAAGAAATAAGTCATTTCAAATTGAATGTCAACCATTCAATCACTTTGGGAAAAGTGAGTTAACAATTTTGCTCTTTGATTTTAGTCAAATTGTAAAATAAGTGTTATCAATTCAACTAAATTGTCAAAATGTGAAAAATTTAAAAGTAAAATTGATACAATTAGAACCATAAAGACCAAACAGACACAAGCTCCACGCTACAGATATTAAGGGTGTAATTTGCCAAAAAATAAATAGAAATAAAATAAAAATTGGTAGGAGGTTAATGAATAACTATTAGCTACTATACCTCTTGTAGACTTCCTAGACTTGACAACGTGTCTTTTAGAGCAGGATTTGAAATTGAAGATGGAGTGGGAAGAAGTTATGCTTTCAGTGAACAAGAGAGCAAACAAGGCAAGAGTGCAGCAGATGACAACAGCAACAATGGAGAAGATAGACAGCCTACCCCTAGGAGTTTTCATTGTGCTCATTAAGGAAAGGAAAGTTCCAGGGAGAGCAGGGAAACTTAAGCTTAACACTCGGATATAAACAGAAAATGTTGAGAAAGTCTGGGTGGTGCTGCAACAGAATGATGAGGACTTTGAGAGAGGTTTTTGTAGCAATTTTAATTACTAGTTTTTGAGTAAGAGTGAAGCCAAAGTAATGTATATGATGGAGGTTAGAAGTAAGTTGAAAGGCTACCATTTTGCTCCTTAACCCATATATAGGAAAACAAAAATGTCTCTTTCTTTTTTGATGATCAGGTATCTCCGGTTTAACCCAATTAGACCCGAGTTATCTCGTATCTGGATAGTCGCAAAAAGAAATACTTAGAGGTCATGAAATTAATGATCGAACAAACTTCCAATAGACCTTTGGAAGACTCGAATTTGTGATCTTAGATTTTATTTTCTAGTCTTTACTGCTTGACCCATCCTTTGGAGTTAAGAAAATAGAAATGTTATGTGTGTATTTTTTTTTAATAAAATAAAAAGTTAATTACACTTAGAATACCCTTATATTTTTATTAAAATTTCAATCTCATCATTTTCAATTATGATAGTCAACTATTTACATTTTAAGTCAAGTTGTAATGCTACATTCTATTCATCTATCATTGATAGAGTTGAGGAAAAATAAAAATAGAGGGTTCAGAATAAGATTTTTGTAAAAGTACAGTTTAATGGAGTGAAAAAAATGTTACGTATGACTTGCATGACAAATTCTATTAGCCTTCTTAACACCAGATGTTTAAAGTGTAGGGGAGTGACTATTATTGATAATAAAAAAATAATTAGTATGTTTGGTTTCAATTTTCTGCATTCAATTTTTTGAAAATTGTGTTTTTTGTTTTTTGTGTATTTTTATTTTTAGTGAATATTTTTAAAATTTTAAGCATTTTTTTTTACTTTTTTTGATGCACCTTACTTAGATATATCTAAATAGTAAAATATCGGTGAAAAAATATTTTAAAAAATTAATAAATACACAAAAATACGAAAAATGAACTGAATTTTCATTTTTTTAAAATATATTTTTTGGTATTTAGTGTATTTTTAAAGATTTTTTCACAAATATTATATTATTTAAGTGTATTTATGTTAGGTGTGTCTAAAAATTTTAAAAAAAATGCTTAAAATATTTTTTAAAAAATCATTGAAAACATTAAAATTTGGAAAATAAAAAAATAAAATTTTTTGAAAACTGTTTTATGAAAATCAGAACCAAACAAGCTGAATAATTTTAAAACAAAAATTATATATATATATAACTTATCTATAATGTTATAGCAGTAATATTTTTACAATTATGAGTTAAAATTGTCAATATTTTTAATTAAAATGAAAAGGCTACAAATTTCATTGCATCTTAGAACAAAATTGTATAAAAATCTGTTAATATAACTTATGAGCATGCTAGAGATACAAAATCTTTTACGAAACACTCACATTTAATAAAAATTTTAAAATCTCTAGTGGTTTGATAATTTGTATAACGCGACTTTTTACTTCTTATATGATTTATCGTGTGATGTAATAAATGTCATTAGTTTTTTTAAATATAATAAATTCTATATATACGTGTAGCTTTTATCACATAAATACATATAAATAAAATAAAATAAATCAGATGATAAAAATCATTATTTCTCATAAAGATACTATGCCATTGTTTTCATCATATCATGTGGAGCCTTAAAGGGTGTTGATTAGGTGGGACAGCTTATCTATAGAAATTAGGAGTTAAATTTCTCCATCTCTCACTCTCAGCTGTGTCATGACTTGTAGTTACAGTTTTACATAGTAGAAGATATGTGCCATAACTGGTTAAACTTAACAATCATAAGGTTCTACAAGAAATTAAAATGGATATATTCAAAAACTCCCCAAACCATCCACAACTACCTTGGTGGAAAAGTACTTCTGTACTAACTTCTCAGAGCAACCAGGGCCATTCTTCTAAGCTATATATATATATATATATACTGAATTCAGGATATTCAAACTTGAGTTGGGGGTAGTCAGTCATTATCTATGAAATATGAAATATAAAATATGTGTATTTTAAAAAATATGTTGCACATGTATCGGTTATTATAACGTTTTGCATGGCATTTCTATATATATAATAGGTACACGAAAAATGTACTTAATTTTTTTTATTTAATTTTTGTCATACTCTGCCTAATATATATGCAAGTCGTACTTCAACATGAATAGTATTTTTTTCTACACAAAAGTGAAGTTGGAGTTTTATTTATTTATTTATTTTATCAAGTACAAATTACAATTTACATCTTCACCAACTAAATTATTTAACTAACACTCAATTATACCTATATCTTATTTTTCCAAAAATTTTATTGTATCGAGGTACTCGTAGTCGTGCTTCATATGTCATTACTCTAACAAGGTCGGTTGCAAATGGTTATTTGGTATCATTTTCTTTCTTTTTTTTTTTTTGGGAGGGGGATTTCGTTTGGTTTTGGGAAAGCAATTTTTTTAAAAAAATTTGGAGAACCATTTTTTTGGGGGAAAAAAAATCCTGAAAACATAAAAACAATATGTATTTTCTTACATTCATTATCTTTATTTCTAAAAACATGAAAAGTGAAAATGAAGAAAATGAAAACGATACCAAACACCTCTTATCCTATTAATCATGATTCATGATGCATGACCATGCCGTGTGCTATGTTGGTTATAATCAATTTAAATCCACCAAATTAGCCAATTGGACTCTTTGTAATATTATAGTAGCTTAGCTGCTCGTGATGTAGTGGTTCAGCTGAAGCTTGAGACTATGTTAGCATCTAATATCAATAAAAGTTTTTATTTTTATTTTTATTTCGTTAGGGGCTCTTTTGGGAAGTAAATTAATAGTTACTTTTTAATTTTTAACTCATTTTGGATTATATTATCTCTCACATTTTTTACACGTTTTTTTAAAAAAAATCAAAAAGAGTAAAACAATGCAGCTTTTAATCATCTTCCCAAAACAACCCTTAGTGATTGATTTTTATACTTGTTTGGCACAATTTCGTGTATTTAAATGTCCTTTTTTAAAAATAACTTTATAGAAAGAACTTCATAAGAATTTTTACGAGGAGACATATATTTACTAAATGATTTGTTTGAAAGTTCTTATAAATCGGTCAAATTATCTCTTAATTTTATTGTATGACATTTTTGTGTGTGTAGTTAATCGATAAAAGATTGATTATAAACATGCTAATAATTATCAAACAAGATAATTATAGCTCAATAACACAAAATTGAAAGCTCAATAACAAACTCAAAAAAATAACAATAACAAACTCAAAAAAATAACAATAACAATAAATAAACCATAATAGCAAGAAAAAATAATTCAATACAACCCCATAATAACAGTGCATTTGGAGTGGACTTTTTTAAGTTAAAAAAATTAATAATATGTTTGAGAAATTGCTTAAAAATTACTTTTTATGAGAAAAAACAAATTAACAACATTTGAGTTTTTTGATTGACTTTAACCTTACAAATATAGACAGGAAAGCAAAACGTTATTCAAGATCCAAGTTTAAATCCACCAAATTAGCCAATTGGACTTTGTAATATTACTAGCTGCTCATCGGCCTGCCTGGTGGAACTTTTTTAAATTAAAAATTGATAATCAAAAAGCAGAAATTAAAAACATTCTTACCCCAACTTTTAAATAATCAAATTTTTTTTTCAACTTATTTAAGTTATTTCTGCCTGAGAGCATCTCCAACCACACTCTTTATTTTTCACTAGCTAAAGTATAAAAAAATGACACTATTTATTTTACCTAATTAGTTTAGCTATTATGTGTTCCAACCATACTTTTTATTTTAGCTAGTCATTCAAACTAATTTAACCAATTTTCAAAACAAAAAATGTCATATATATAATACTCTTTTTCATAGAATGCCACATATGCACCTACTCTCTAATATGGTTGCCAATGTGACATTTGCGATAATATTTTAAAAAATAATATTTTTTAATATTAGTTTTAAAAATATTATAAAAAATAATTTTAAGTAATATTTAATTTTTTTTATTATAAGATTTATAGTATGTGAATATATTTCAACATATGAATTTGGTGGAACCAGAACCATCTTGACAGGGAAGGGAGGGGAAGAATAAAAGAAAATAATAAAGAATTTTTTTAAAAAAATAACAATACAAACGAAGTTCTTCAATAATTGTAATTTATCAAATTAAGAACCGAAAGAACACAAATTAACTAATCAAAAACCTTACAAAGGTCAATGAATAAAAACCTTTGGATTTGGGCGAAGCACCCACTGAACTTATTCGTGGCAAGTTGAATCGCTGACCAACGATTCATTAAAGAAGTTTGACTATGATTAGATGAAAACGTTTTGAACTGGTGGAAATACTCCTACACTCTTAGCCAATATGCCTTTGATTTTTGTTCATTCCCTTGCACTGGATCTAAGCTAATGTTAAGCCATGCCGATATGAGCATACTGTCTTCTTCTATAGTGAAGTTGACACCTCGTTGTGGTTTCTTGGTGGTTTCTATTTGTGGAGAGATTGGGGAAGACTGATCCCTTGGTCAAGAGGTTCATCCATAAATTCATAATCAGTCCCATCATTCATCAAGTTGGTAAAATATGCATCATTTTGTTATTGATTCATCTATAGACAAGGTAAAGAAAATTATGGCAATATATATTGGGTTGTAGAAATAGAATCCCAGTTGGAAGCAAATTAATTAATAAATGGCGATCATGTAAATTAAAACACTAGTTGTTTTGTTGAAAATGATTCAATGATAATTTTAGATAAATAAATAGAGATCATGTAAATGCAATAATAAATAGAGATCATGTAAATGCAATGAAAAATGATTCAATTATAGTTGCAACAACTCTCTAATGCTATATAACAAGAGCTCTAATTCTGCTAACATTCTATCAAGCCTATATATTATAAAACTAATATACACTCCAAGCTTATTCTATCAAGCCTATATATTATAAAACTAACATACACTCCATGTTACTTTCATAACATTCTATCAAAAAACAGGAAAACCTTACAACAAAAATGAATTCAGGCA